GAGAGAGAGAGAGAGAGAGAGAGAGAGAGAGAGAGAGAGAGAGAGAGAGAGAGAGAGAAAGAGAGAGAGGACAGAGGGGATGAGCGAAATGGGTCTCTCTGGGCCGATGCGTGTTACCTGAACAGCTGCAGAGGACAGAATGGACCGACAGAAAGGAAACACACGAGTTTCGAACTCAGACACTTCGTGTTTGGGAAAGTGGACTTTTTTCAGACTCCTGGGAGTCGATGCCAGAGCACCAGATGTCAGGGAACAAATCTAGCGAACGGAAAAATGGAGAAAATGCAAAATAGAAAAAATGGAAGCCAGTACTAACACAACGGCTGCATTACGCAGCTATATAACTAACATTTGAAACATTTGCCGACCTTTTGGGTTGAGGATCGGGAACCCCCCTGATGAGGATCGGTTGGCAACCGATCGAAACGCGGCGTAGGGGGAAGCCGCAGGACGGATTGGTGGGAGTTGGCATTGACATGTCATGCTCGTGGTTACTATCTTGGTGCAGGAAAGAGCGAGTTCAATTGTCTGTTTTCTATGGTTTATCATACATCACAATTGTCTCTTTCTCTCGTGTCATTAGGACTTTCAGCCTACGATGCACATGATGATCCACTTATGTGGAGGATACTATCCAAACAGAGGGTTGAGCCGATAACCGACCGGGAAGCATACCTAGCACGGTGGTCATCAGGCTACAATCAAGACGAAGATCAAGACAAAGACAATCCAGGACCAAGACGAAGAAGATCGAAGACGATAGAAGACAGAGAGCATACTAGTGGGAACAGACGCGACTGCTAGCCAGGATCTGGTGTGTGACGAAATGGTCTGCTATACGTGCGGCAAGGATGGCCGCTACGCGAGGGACTGCCCTCAGCGGGCGGGCGCAGCTATACCATCGCAAAGCACACCGTATAGATACAGCGGGATGACATGGCAGCAGAAGAAGGATGTTGATGTGATACAGCGGGATGACATGGCAGCAGAAGAAGGATGTTGATGACATCGCGTGGATGAGAGAGTTGTGTGGAGATCTGGCGAGAGAGAGGAAAGAGAAGGAGGACAGAGAGAAGGAACAGGAATGGCAGAGATTGGAGGCGGAGAGACAAAGACGGGAAGACGAACTACACCAACAAAGGAAGGCTGAGCTGGAACGACAAACTGAGATCAGAGATGCGCGCCTCATGACGGCGATGATGACGCAACTCAAGACCTTGCATGATAAACTCTCTGGGCAAATAATGGAAATAAAGGCGAGGGCACAAGTGAGGGAGAACGAGAAAGAGGGCGTGGAAAAATTGAGGAAAGAAGTGATAGAACTAGAGAAGGAACTGGCGAAGGATGACAGCCTTGAGAAGGAGAAGGAGGAACTACGGAAGAAAATCATGCAATTAAGAAAGATGAAGGAGGAGAGGGACCTCGGAAGAGTCAGGAAGAAGCTCATGGCGGAGGAGCTAGAATGGGAGTTGGAGCAGACGCGACGAGAACTGGACATGGAAGATGACCAGTATGCACCATCATCGTCTACGAGACCACCACAAAGACAGAAGAAGACACCTCTGACAATGTCATCCAGACCAAAGCAGCGCATGCGACAGCCAAGTATGGGGATACACATTGAAGAACCAACAACGCCACACACTCCAAGGATGACAAGATCACAAGTGAAGAGAAACCCGACGCTGGACAATGCAGCGCTCATAGCGGGATGGAAGAACATCACTCTAAAAGGCTCAAAGACTGGGATCGTAGATTACTGCATGAACATGAGAACGTACCTACGGACCAGATCGATGAGAGAACTCCAATGTCTATGCGGAGAAGATAAGATAGAGTATGCTACTAGAGAGAAGGCGATCAAGGAGTTGATTGCGAATAGGATGCAAGACGCTATTATAAGGAGTAGCGAGGATCCTTAAGAGGAGAATGATCCGGGAAGCCTGGACAATACCCCGGATCCCGCATCAGACTGAAGGATTGACCTCGATAAGGCTTCGGCACTATGGCACATAATGCTAACGTATAGAAGGATGAACTCCCTGAACCGGGAAAACGGAGATCTTATAGACGCGGCACTCAGATGTATTGTAGTAACTCTGACGCTGCTAGGAGCTATACCCTGGGCGTCGAAATTCCGTGATCTCTGGATGGATGATAAGATAGATTGGGTTCATCCTACTAATTGTGTTTATGCACTTGTGTCCGTAAGATGCCGGAAAGTGTACATCGGCCGTACAAGTAGGAAACTCGCGGCTAGATGAAAAGAACACGTATCCTGTAGCAAAGGGAAGGAATACAAGTGTCAGTCACTGTATAGATGGCTCAGGAAAGTGGGATGTGAGGAGTACATCGCTATACCACTCACGGCAGACGTAGGAGAGAAGGATCTGGACAGGATCGAGAGATGCCTTGTAAAGAGATGGTCTCCGACTCTGAACTGCAATATATATATGGGAATACAAGTACAGCAAAGAAAAGGAAAGGGGGACGAGAGAAAAAAGGAAAAGAACATATACAGGAGAAGAAGGGGAATATCCTGAAATTTGTGGAGGAATCCGGATCACCTACTACAAGCCTAAGCGACATCCTTGAAGCCATCATCAAAGGGGGAAGAAGGGATGTACGCATCACATGCACGGGGAATATATGGTGTGAAGATTGGAAGGTGGTGAAGCGGAAATTCGGAATGTCATTAGTCGAAGTAGGAAGTACGACGTGCCTGCTGAGAGACGCAAAGGGAAAGATAGAAGAAGGAGGCTCAATTACTATCAAGGATGCAGCAGAGACTGTCACCTACCCGGCGAAGACAAGAAGGAAGATGCTGCTACTGCTCACACAGCCCTGGCGGAGAAAACTGCTATGGAAGGAGGAGAATCGGGAACTGACAACTATGTACCAAGCCTTAAGAGGTTTTGAGAAGAGGACGAGGCAACGACTGCGCACGATTATATCACGTGTGCTGAACGAGAAGGTAGGGATTAACGTGAGAGAGAGACTGACGATCAAGATACCGTACGACGATAGAGTGGACAAGAAGTTGATTGGAGACGTTGCAAAAGGAAAGATCGATGAACTGGAATGGGGCACTGAGATCTCAGACATCATACGAAGGCATGTCCAAGTCGTCTGGACCAAAAAGCAGACGGTTGGGGACATCCTTCACAACCATCGGGAATTCACACGACCGAATGGTAGCATCTGCCGATGTGCAGATAGCCACCAGCCGATACGGGAGGGGCACGTACGATGCACTCTGGAGGAAATCGGAGCGCCGGAATTCCTACTGAGTGCGAAGAACATCCTGGCGCAACGCACAAGATCAGTGAAGGGAGGGATTGTGGCAGCAATCATTGACGGACTCGGGGGGATCTTCAAGAAGATGGGAAAGGCGATCGGTGTTAAGATGGCGGAAGTAGAAGCATGCGTATGCGACCGACAGTTGGAAAACGACGACTGGTACAAGGTCGTACAGGAATGAACCTGGAAACTACGAGGGCTTGTATGCATGCCCCTCGACCGGAATCCAGGTGCCACGTACATTGTTTGCCCAGTAGTATACATGAGAGCGTTGCGAGATACATTCTGGCATGGCGGAAGTTTCAATATGAAGGATTTAACTGAGGAGAAGGCGCTGGAGATGTCCAGGAGGAGCTATGAAGTGAGGGGTTTGAGAAAATAAGGTTCATGGAGGAAGAAGGGACGCCTAGGAGAGGCATACGTCATCCCGAAGCAGAAAGATCCGGGGAGATGGAGACCAATTGCCCCTGCGTGGAATGCACCTACGAATGGAGCAAAGAAAGTAGCGAAGGCATTGTACTGCATGCTAAGATGCCTCGCGAGGAGTCTGCATTTCAATGTGACATCAACAGAAGATGCCATCAGCAGACTAGGAGAGTGGAATGGACGCCTAAAACAAAGCCATGACGTCCTGGTCGCAAGCTTTGACGTAAAGAATATGTTCGCCGAGCTCCCTCACGAGGAGATCAGGGAGTCGGTGAACTGGATCATCATAATGATGCAGGAGAAAGGCTACGATCTGGTGAACGTGAACTGCTGAGGAAAACGTCCGGCGATGGGAAGGAAAGCAAGGGAAGGACACTACTCCGTGCTGCTCAAGCAGGTGCGAGAATGGATCGAGTACGAGCTGGGGCACTCGTTCAGCCTGGCAGAAGGAGAAGTGATCCAGCTGATGAGGGGAATCCCAATGGGGGGACAGATAAGCCCCACCCTAGCCTGTGCGCCAGGAGCGAAGCGATGTTAATCCATGACATCGGGACAGATCAGAAAAGGATCCTAGGCCTGAGACTCATGGATGACGTGGCGGTGTTTGTGACATTCCTCCGAAGAATGGCGGACTCGCTGTGTGAAGCCAGGGAGATAATTAAAAAAGTCCAAGGGAGCTATCCACCGGATCTCTCACTGGAACGCACCGATGAGGAGGATGGAAAGCTCTCATTCCTCGGGTGTAAGATCTTGGTAGATCAGGAGGGACCGGACATCACAGCGACACTGGAGATGAAGAACCAATCAGCCCTGCTCCAAGGAAAGCCACTCATCCACCAGAGCATACAAGACTACAACTCATACAACGACAAGCAGGCGAAGATCTCCAAGATCAAAAGCTACCTACACCGCATCTTCAGATGCTCATCAGACACGGCACTTCGCACCCTACCACTGTTGTGTCTCATCAGAGAGCTCATACAGAGGAACTATCCAGAGGCTATGATTCTCACGACGCTCTGGGATTTTGAAAAGAGCGCGAACCTGAGATTCATGCACGACCTCCATCCCTTTAGGATGGAGGTAGAAGATGATCGACGTGAGAGAGAGAGAGAGAGAGAGAGAGAGAGAGAGAGAGAGAGAGAGAGAGAGAGAGAGAGAGAGCGAAGTGGGTCTCTCTGGGCCGATGCGCGTTACCTGAACAACTGCAGAGGACAAAACGAACCAACAGAAAGGAAACACACGAGTTTCGAACTCGGGCACTCCGAGTTCGGGAAACCGGACTTTTTTGAGACTCCAGGCTGGGAGTCGATGCCAGAGGACCAGATGTCAGGGAACGAATATAGCGAACGGAGAAATGGAGAAAATGTAAAATAGAAAAAAATGGAAGCAAGTACTAACACAACAGCTGCATGGCGCGGCTATATAACTAACATTTGAAACATTTGCTGGCCTTTTGGGTTGAGGATCGAGAACCCCCCTAATGAGGATCGGTTGGCAACCGATCGAAACGCGGCGTAGGGGAAAGCCGCAGGATGGATTGGTGGGAGCTGGCATTGACATGTCATGCTCGTGGTTACTATCTTGGTGCAGGAAAGAGCGAGTGCAATTGTCTGCTTTCTATGGTTTATCATACATCACAATTCTCTCTTTCTCTTGTGTCATTAGGATTTTCAGCCTACGATGCGCATGATGATCCACTTATGTGGAGGATACTATCCAAACAAAGAGCCCTATCCCGACTTTCCCCCTCCCGCTATCCCGACTTCCCCCCACCCTATCCCGACTTCCCCGCCTCCCGCTATCCC